TATTATGTTTTATAAATTATAACGACAATAAGTGACCTATTTCTAATATCAAAAATACACATTTTAAATATATAATTTAATGTGTAAGCGTGTGAAAATACGCATTTAACTGTGTAAATTACACAGATAAAACGTGTAAAAAATAACACGCGTACAAATGCGTAATAAGTGACTACATGATTTTACACACTTTAAGTGTGTATTTTTTACACACTTGGATTTGCAGTGTACGGCCCTGACATGTCCTCCGAAGCTAACGTACACGTATGATGACTATGTATCCGAGTTCAAAGAAAGATTGCGCGCAGCACACCAGGTAGCGAAAGCAAACATGCAAGAGGAGAAAGCAAAGTCGAAAGAATGCTACGACAAAAAGGCTAATGTAAGCACGTTTAAAGCAGGCGACAAGGTATTGCTGTACGATGAAGCACTGCGCCGTGGACGCTCTAAAAAATTAGAATCTTTATGGAGAGGACCGTATACAATAATTAAACAAAATTCCGACGTGAATTACACTATAAAAGCGGGGAGGAAAAGCATGGTTGTTCATGCAAATCGCTTAAAATTATTTGTGGAACAATAAACACTTACCTCTGCTTCTCCCCCTGCTTCTCCACCCACTTTATCATGTCGTATACGGGAACGCCATGACGAAAAAATCCCCTCAAAAACTGGAGGGCGACTCCCCCTCAAATTCCACCGTCACGTCTATTAGATCCTTGCGGATTGGGAAAGGCTTCCGCGGTAAACGGAGGCAAAACACGCGCCGCGTTTCCGCTCTCCAGTCGGACTCGACAAGAAAAGTCTCATTCATTGTCGCGAGTCGAAGCCGTACTATACAACGCTCCACTTGCTCTTTAACGACCCACCGATAAAAATGCTCATTCATATCTAATATAACTTTATAACCACCTGATAATAGGCATCTAATTCTCTGGGAAGCGCTTGCGACGCAACCTGAGCCAGACCTACCCGTTACCGTGGACCGATTCCAGTCAGACGCGTTCTTAAGGCCATTAAAGCTTCGATGCAAGGTGCAAAGACGAAGTTGAAAGGGTCCGGGCACTGTTATTAATTAAAAGAAATTAGTCAGAGTTTTTTAATAATTTTGTACTCGCATGCAAATTTTTTACAAACAAATACCTCTTCAAACTTTAACCGACATAAATTTCTTGACAATATCCTCTAAATTTAAATCAGTCAAAACATCTTTCTCAATTGATAATATTGTAAAGCTAGATTGGATGTTCTTTCTTGTGTCATGGTACTTCTTAGATAATTCTTAAGTCTTCTTAACACACTGAATGATCTTTCGACATTCGCTATCTCAATAGGTAATGTTATGAACAATCTTAAAATCAGTTCGACATTAGGAAATATATCCACAAGTTTTTGATCTACTAGATATTCAAGGTATCCCAATGCGCCCCTATCAAAACATGGTTTCTTTTCAGAACAATAAATATCTTTAAATTGCATTATTTCGTTAGGCAAACAGGGCGAAATAAATTTGAATTTTTTACTCAGCTTCGCACAATTCTTTTCTAAATCTTGATTACTACAATTTCTGAGATTTGCTGGATTTTAAAAACCGAAAAGTTCTATAACTCCTTCAAGTCCTTCGATCCGATCTGTCATTTTTATAGCCATTGCATTAAGCGTTACATTTATGATATATACATACATTAACTATAAAATTTCTATTAACATCTTGGATAGGATCATCTCTTGTGCATTTGTCATGAAAAGTTTTTTTTCTTCGACTCCTCTTCTTTTGAAAATGCATTTCTTCTTCATCCATTCCAGACTGGAGCCATTTCGATTGTGCGGTTTGAAATAGATTATCGAAGTAGGTGTCATTTTTCAATGAATACAATTTTTCTTTAGATTGTTTCATGAAGAACACTACTTGAAACAAGTCAATTTTTTTTTTTTGCAATAACTTAGAAGTGATATCGACAATTTGCAAAACGTCGTTCCAAAATATCAAAGTGACTAGAAATTTGAAGCTGAAACTGTTTAATAGCCCTGCAGCTGTAGTGACTTCCTCTTGGTCGTGTTTTGATTCAACAATTTGCTCTAAACAAATAATCACTAACTGGAAATTTTGAAGTATGCATGGGTAGCCTTTGTTTGTGCAGACCATCTAGTACCCGATAAGCTTTTCAGAGTGAGAACTTTTTCTTTTTGCGGAAGTAAAAAGGCTTTGGCTTTTATCCTCTTCGATTTCCGTAAATCCTCGATCATCCATGCAAGTCTCCTTCAGCATAGCCCATCGGCGTTGTGGTGAATGCGCGAAAAATCCATAACATTTTTGGACATTTCCAAAAAAGCTTAAGGTTTGTAGAGGCACATTTTTCTGCCGCATGACTCAATACTAAATTTAATTGATGGAGTGGACAATGCACGTATGGTGCGAAGGCTTGTTGGCTTTCTTGGCTAATAGCTTCCCAGTAAGCAAGAAATCATTGATATAACGTTATTTTAACGATATTTAGTAATATGTAACATTGTTAAATATGTAGGTTTTAACGTTCTAATCGACGTGATTATAAACAAACTTTGACACTGATTTTAAGGTTTCAATAACGTTGAAATAGGAGTGTCTTAATATTACGAATAATGTTGTGCAAATGTTTTTTATAATTTTAATATAATGTTTTTCATATAACATTAAATAAATGATTACATTTAAACTTACTTTTAACTTTATTTTATCATTATATCAACATTGACACAATATTAATATTTTATTATTTATTTCATATTCTTAGTAAATACAAAATAACATAACATCAATGTTGTAATTTTCCACTCAATAAAGTACAGCAAGGTATGTTATATTGCAGTTAATTGTTAAACAATTCAACAATGTAACTGCAATGTTATATACAGGGTGTCCCCAGACACCAAGCAGATCTGTCGCAATCATACGCATCAGATCCTTGCTATTATGTTCACAAAAATCACATCAGCACTACGGTTATAAACTTTCATGAAATGAATGGGTCAGTGGTGTCATATAAAAATCAAATAGATTTTACTATTAAATTCAATTTTTTTAATTTTATATATAAGCATAACACACAAAAACGTCAATGTATATTATTAAAACAGGATGGATTTATTTTTCTCAAAGACAACACATTGAAATTAAGACTTTTGCGAAATAATTTTGCGTCTTTGTTCTTAATGAATGGTCTTTGCATCAAAGAAGAAGTTAATATTTTATTTGACAAACTTCATCTTATTAAAAGATCATCACAATCATCTGGTGATGCAAGTTTTCCAAATTTGGATAATTTTGTAATAAAGCGACGTCATGTACAAGATACGCAAAAAAAAATTAACTATGGAACTAGTTGTTTTCTTAGACGAAGCCGCATATCGTACGTTCATGTCTTTTCTGGGTGAAAATGGAAGTGTGTTGCGCATGTTGATATTAGCGTATGTGAATCGTATCTAAGCTGTGCTTCATCATCCGAGTTTTGGTGTTTCTATCGATATTTCATTGGTACATTTGGAAATTATGAATAAACAACCTTTAAATTTGTTAGTTTTTGACAGCGACGGTCAGAAATTGTTTGAATCATTCTGCAATTACGCAAATACGCAGAAACTGGCAATCCTCCGGACGACAATGATCGGAACCACTGGTACATTGGTCTTTACCTAACAGGGTTCAAAATTTATTGGATGAAAGAAAGTACCCAGGAATTAGGTACCTTAGGAATATCTCGCACCATAGCGCGTGCAACTTAACTACATCGTGTGCGGTAGCAAAATTATTGTATTGCGGGTAAACTAACCTTGGGTTTTTCATCGTCTCTCACTGCTGCTCATGAGATTGGTCATGTATAAGTTTATATATAAACTTTAACATATAAATTAGTTTAACATACAAGTTTAAATATGATAATATTTTTTATAAGAATTGTTTGAATTGTTTAATTTACAATCAAAAAGCAAAGAAACTTTTTTAAGAGATTTATTTCCTTTTATTGTTCAGTATGATAATTATTAATTAAATTTAATATTAAAATATTTAGAATAATCAATGCAAAATAAAACACATTGTCAAAAGTAATAATTTATTTGTTCAAAAGTTTGGGAATGATACACGATTCCGAATATGAATTTCCGTGTGATGCATACAAATACATAATGTCGTCTGACCAGTACTATCAAGGTCAAGTTATATGGTCCGAATGTAGTCGTGGTATAGCTGAAGCACTCTGGTACAAAAAAGATTGTCTTCGAGATCAGACGAGACCGAAACGTTTAGGTGACACATCACTCTCGTTAGGTGACACATCACTCGACCACTCACGTTATCACGATTTACCCGGAAGAAAATGGACCGCCAAAGCACAATGCGAAATATATTTTCGCGACAAGGATGCAAACGTAGTCTCGTTGCTTGATATATGCAAAACCTTAGAATGCGAAACGCCTCACAAGAATGGGCATTACATCACGGGACCGGCATTGGAAGGTACATTTCCTGTTGCTGATCGCTGAAATAGTTTATAACTTAATTAATCTCATTTTTTAAGGAACTTATTGTGCACCCGGAAAGGAATGTCGTGGCGGAGAATGCGCACCCGTTATCAAACCACCGTACATTTTTGAAAATTGTGAAGATGATAACTGGAGTGAATGGAAAGAAAGCAACTGTCAAAGTATCTGCTTGGAGAAATCTAAAGGTGTAAAACTCAAACGACGTTCTTGTAGACATAGGAATCGCAGAACGACGAGTTGTCAAGGACCATATTACGACGTAGTCCTGTGCGATGATACTTTACCTTGCATTAAGAAACGCAAGACGATTGACTCATTTATCAAAATAAAATGCATGAAATTTTTGAGTAACTTTTCCACCATATCGTTTAAGAATTTGACGCTTAAACTAACACCTAAGTTCGAGCTAAGATGGCAGGCCGCTCATAATTTTGAGAAACCGTGGATAGCTTGTACTATACACTGCCAACAAAAAGATTCGTCTACTATCGACGCACTACGCTTGAAAATGCTCAACCATAATATTAATCCGTACTTTCCAGATGGAACGTGGTGTCATGAGAAAGATGGCCAGGATTATTATTGCCGACAACATTTCTGTCTGCCTGAAAGCTACTCTTAAGAATTTTGGAGGGATTATCAACATATGTAAACAAGTATCGGAGAAAAAGAAAATTATAAAATGCGCGTAAATCCGTATAGCGAAGTTGGTCAATTCGTTTGGTATCAAATTTTCGATCGCACAATTTGTCGTGTTAACATTTGTTTTGTGTATCATCTATATCTTGTTTGATGGAGTCAATAAACTACGTCAAATTATAATATCTAAATCGAATTTCGGCAATTAGCATTAGTAAAAACATAATAAACAATTTAACAGATAATAATTAATATGTTTGCAAAAAGAGAAACTAAATAGCTTAATAAAATAGAGATACTTTTATTTCGTACCACACAATTTGTAAAGAAAAAATCTACAAATGCGATAACGTCACTCACTATGTAATTTAATAGTCTATTAATGTTTCATTAATACAATACTTACATAAGATCGATTAATAAATAAAAAAAGTGAAGAAAATTTTATTACAGAATTTAATAATTTTCAAAATTATATAGTACAAATTGTTATTTATTTCTTGAATACATTAACTCGGTAACCGAATACGGCACGTCAGAAATCGAAATTTCACAATATACTTTCTAACTTAGTATATCGGTAAGCAATTGTATTTTCCTTTTATATAAAATTTGACATTTATAACGTAAATTGCGTTAGCAATGTTATGTTATAAAAATTCTAAAATTGTCATTAATTAAATTTTTTAACGTTTATAAATAACTGTCAAAATGTTTGTGAATAATGTGGCATATTCTACATATCGATCATAATTTGATTTTTCTAAAATTCCACCATTCCGTAAGTATTATATACAATAATATTTACAATTAAAAACCAGAAAGATAAAGAAATATATAGAGGGTGTCCCAATAAAATGTATATACATTTTATTATTAGATATTTTAACAAAATGAACAGACGTTAACTTGTGAATATATTTCGTTGAGACACGCTGTATATGTAGCATAAAGAGTATATACACAATAAGTGTCGCACGATACGAATGATTTTCCTAAGTCTGGATGCCTGTATGTGTGATCTATACGCGATCAGAACATATGACAAACATGAAAGTATTATAACGTACGTATATCATAAGTAATTTGATGTGTAAAGAAGACGTTAACTAATCATTTTCGGTAGTTATAATTGAAAAACAAGATAAACAACATGTTTTTCATGTTGAAGTTGGTGTTAATATTTTTATTACACGAAACGCAAGCGTATATTATGCAAGATATCGAAAGAATATTGCTGCCGGCATTGAATACGACAGAGATAGAGGAAGTACGTGAGTTTTACTGTATTGCTTCGTTCATTGCTCAATTATCAAAATATTATTAGAGAATCATCAAATCTTTTTAAACTCTTATATAATTTACAGATACCACTGACTTTAAAAGTTTTTGGAAAACAGATTAAGTTAAATCTGCGAAGAAACGACAAGAATGTATCGTCTACGTATAAGGTATGGAAACATGACGCAAAAGACATCACAATAGGATTGTCGGAATTACACGCATCGGATCCTTGCTATTATTTTCACAAAAATCGTATCAGCACAGCGGCCATAAACGTTTGTCAGAAATGTGGATGGGTTAGTGTCACATAAAAAGCAAATAGCTATTACTTTTAATCTCAATTTCTTTTTGTTTTATATACAATAATGACTTGCAAGAACTAAACATATATTTTTTTAAAAGTAGGAAGGATTTGTTTTTTTCAAAGACGACACATTAGAAATTAAAACTTTGCGAGATAACCATGCGTCTTTGTCCTCAATCGACGATCTTTGCGTTAAAGAAGAAATTAATGTTTCATTTGGCAAAGCTCACCTCATTAAAAGATCTTTGCAATTATTTGCTGATTCAAGTTTTCATGATTTTTATAATTTTAAACTGAAGCGGCGTCATGTACAAAATATGCAAGAAAAACTAACTATAGAGCTGGCTGTTTTCTTCGACGTAGCCGCATATCGTACGTTCATATCTTTTCTGGATGAGGATAATGGAAAGTTGCGCAATATGATATTAGCGTATGTGAATCGTATCCAAGCTATGTTTCATCATTCAAGTTTGGGTGTTTCTATCGATATTTCATTGGTACATTTGGAAATTATGGATGAACAACCGTCAAATTTGCCAGTTTCTGACGGCAACGCTACCAAACTGCTCAATTCGTTCTGCAAATACGCGGAAACTCGCAATCCTCCGGACGATAATGATCCGCGCCACTGGGACATTAGTCTTTACATAACCGGAATAGATTTTTGGAAAAAGAAAGGTCTCCTAGGTACCTTAGGATTAGCCTACCTCAATGGCGTGTGCAGTTTAAATAAATCATGCGCGATTGTAGAATTCGGTATTGCGGATAAGCTATCCTCGGGTTTTACATCGTCTGTTACTGCTGCTCATGAAATCGGCCATGTGTAAGTTTATAATTGTTTTACGTATAAATTAAATAGAAATAATACGTTCTATAAGAAATTTATGACTTGCAAAATTTTTAAGTAAAAGGTAAAGACTTTTTTTAAGAGAGATTTAGTTCTTTAGTGTAATTAACTGTACAGTTTGCTTAATTAGTAGCTTTAATTTAGTTGCTCAGAATGTTAATTATTAATAAATTTTAATACATAAATATTTGAACAAACAATGCAAAGTAAAGCTTTTTGTTAAAATTAATACTGATTTGTTTTAAAGTTTAGGAATGGAACACGATTCAAACCAGGATGAAAAATACCAATACATAATGTCACCACGCGGGCACCAAGGCCAGACAACATGGTCCGAGCATAGTCGCGATATAGCTGAAAAACTCTGGTACAGTGAACAGTGTCTCCGAGATTATACGAAAAATTTAGAAGACGCGTATGACCACTCGCGTTATTATGATTTACCCGGAAGAGAATGGACCGCCAAAGCACAATGCGAAATATATTTTCGCGACAAGGATGCCAATGTAGTCTCATTGCTTGATATTTGTAAAACTTTACAATGCGAAACGCCTCGCAAAAATGAGTATTACTACACGGGACCGGCGTTGGAAGGTGCGTTTCCTCTTGTTGATCTCTCAAACAGTCCATAGCTTAATTAATCTCATTTTGTAAGGAACTTATTGCGCATCCGGGAAGGAATGTCGTGGTGGAGAATGCGTACCCGTTCTGAGACCGTCATATATTCTCGAGTATTGTGAAGATGATAACTGGAGTGAATGGAAAGAAGGCACCTGTCAAAGTAGCTGCCTAGTAAAATCTAAAGGTGTAAAAATCAATCGACGTTCTTGCAGACATGGACTTCGCAGAACAGCAAGTTGCAGCGAGCCATATTACGACGTGGTTCTGTGTGAAGACTGGATGCTTTGCAGCAAAGATCGACTGCCAATCTCCGTGTTTACTGCCATGAAATGCATTAAATTCAACAATTATGCAAAGCAAAAATTCAAGATCGAACTGGAAAAAGAGCCAGGAGTTCAAATCTCTTATAATGTCTCGGAACCGTGGATGGCCTGTACTATACACTGCCGACGAAAAAATCCATCTACTTTCTACGCACCACGCTTGGAAATGCTCAGCTCCGGTATCGATCCATACTTTCCAGATGGAACATGGTGTCACAATAAAGATGGCCAGGATTATTACTGCCGCCAACATTATTGTCTGCCGGCAAGCTACTCTTAAGTATTTTTGAAGGATTATTGACATGTGAACAAGGATCGAGGATAAAGAAAATTATAAAATGCGTGTAAATCAATATATAAAAGTTGGTCAATTCGATTGGTACCGAATTTTCGATCGCACAATCTGTCAATCCGTGTTAACTTTTGTTTTGCGTGTCATCTATATCTTGCTTGTTGGAGACAAGAATTACGTCGAATTATCAGTATCTAAAACGAATTCCAACAAATAGCATTAATAAAAATATTTAAAAAACAATAAAAGTAGTAGATAATAATTAATATGTTTGCAAAACAAAAAAAGATAGCTAAGTAAAGTATAGGTACTTTTATTCCCTTCGAGATGTGTCGAGAAAAAGTGAACGAGAACAAAACTCACTATGTTATGTATTTTAATAGTCTACCAATGTTTTAGTAACACCTGTATAGAAATAATTATTAAATAAAAAAAATAAGAATAAAATTTTATTTTATAATTCAAAGATATTCATAATTATTAAATACAAATTGTCATTTATTTAATGAACTCAAAAGCGCGGTAACCGAAAACAGCATGACATCAGAAACGGATAAATTTTAATAGATTTTTTACCTCAGTTAATCAATATATCAATAATCAATTGTATTTTCTTTTTATAATATATTTGATATTTATAACGCTAAATTGCGTTAGCAATGTTATGTCATAATAATTTTAAAATTGTTATTAATTAAAATTTTCTTAAGGTTTATGAATAACGTTGAAAATGTTCGTCAATAATGTTGCATATTCCACATATCGATCATAATTCGAATTTTTTTAAATTCCGTAATCGCATGCACTGGCGGATTCGTGTGGGGGGGGGGGGGGATTAAACCCCCCCCTTCCAAGTTAAAAAAAATCAAGTTAAAAAAGAATTTTTGAGCAAATCGATCCAGCTCTTGCTCTGTTTGGCTTTATTTTAAAACGATTTTTAATTTAATTAAGGAAGAGCAATAACTTGATATTATTTGTATTTAAAAAAAAAATCAATTTTGCTGGATCCGTTTCAAAAATTTTGGTTAAAAAATGCATTAAAGTAGGTCAAAACCCCCCGCCCCCCCCATCATCGATGTCAGGATCCGCTAGTAATTGCATGTATTATATATAAAATTACAATTCAAAACCGAAAAGGATACATATACATATATATGGCGCACTTCACGTGTCAGGGGTCCACCTTAAAATGAACTGTTTGGGATTTTTAGAATGATCATGAAAACACGTTAGTGCACATATTGTGTAAAGTTAAAGGTAAAAAAAATTAGTGTTATATGCCTTGCATTCAAGATATTGGAGGTAGTCATTTAAGAAATTTTTCTTTTTTTTTATATTTGTAGATAAAATTACAAAATTACACAATTTTGATAAACATAAATTTTTTGGGATTTTTTCTGTACTTTCAGATAAAAAATATTAATTTTAGCGAGAAAAAATTATTTCTATAGAAAAAATCAATTTTTTAATTTTAAGTGAGAAATTGAGAAATTATATCGTCTTTTAAAAATTTGAAAAAATTCTCAAAAATACTTTAATATATGTAGAATATGGTACGATAAAGGAAATTTTGGGATCGCAATGGGATCCATTCAAAAACGAATATTTTTTCCAAAACAAATTTGGAATTTCAGCGAAATTTTCTCTCTCTCTCTCTCTCTCTCTCTCTCTCAGCCAAACTCGATAATACCACTCGATGATACCATTTTAAAAAAAATATAATATTGCTAAAGTTTTCGCTTTTGTATTTTTTACTCATTTATTTCTTCTTTTTCTTTAGAAAATAATCTTGTTCCTTATCAAAACTAAATTCTTTTAAAATCAATTAATCTTCGCTCGCAGGAATAATACTCGTAGCATGATATTTTAATGTACCCGGAATAGGTTTCGCTAATGCAAATCTTGGTTCCAAAAACTTACTGCATTACATGATCAACTAATGAACTAGGAGAACAAAAGTTATAATATAAAATTTTATTATATACGAGGACAATGTCTCTTTTATATAACGAAAATAAACATTTTTTACGACCAGTAACAAATAATCAAGCAACAATACATTGAAAAATTGACTGTAAAAGAAAGAATCTTAAAAAATCTGTTTGTGATTATAGTGATTTACCTGAAATGCCAATTTTGTTTTAGAAAAAATACTCGTTTTTGAATGGATCCCATTGCGAACCCAAAATTTCCTTTATTGTACCATATTCTACATATATTAAAGTATTTTTGAGAATTTTTTTAAATTTTTAAAAGTGGATATAATTTCTCAATTTCTCACTTAGAATTAAAAAATTGATTTTTTCTATAGTAACAATTTTTTCTCGCAAAAATTAATATTTTTATCTGGAAGTACGGAAAAAATCCTAAAAAAATTTATGTTTATTAAAATTATGTAACTTTGTAATTTTATCTACAAATATAAAAAAAAAGAAAAATTTCTTAAATGACTACCTCCAATATCTTGGATGCAAGGCATATAACACTAATTTTTTTGATCTTCAACTTTACACAATATGTGCACTAACGTGTTTTCATGATCATTTTAAAAATTCCAAGCAGTTCATTTTTATTGGACCCTGATACGTGAAATGCGCTATATACAGGGTGTCCCAAAAATTTTGACACAGCGGCCGTATGCCGGTAGAGCAGACCAAACTGAACCGAAAAGTCCTCTACCATTTTACAATTTTCACAAGGGTTAAAGAGATATTAATTATTAAAGATTACCGAATGCGAACGCACGGCTGAGATACGACCGCCTACAGACTACGGTCGCTAGGCGCGCGGCGTGCGGTAAGCGGCGAGCGACAAGCGGCGAGCGGGGAGCGGCGAGCGGCGCGTCTCTTACAAGTCTGTAGGCGGTCATATCTCAGCCGTGCGTTCGCATTCGGTAATCTTTAATAATTAATATCTCGTTAACCCTTGTGAAAATTGTAAAATGGTAGAGGACTTTTCGGTTCAGTTTGGTCTGCTCTACCGGCATACGGCCGCTGTGTCAAAATTTTTGGGACACCCTGTATACAGGGTGTCTGGCAATAATCGCCCCACCGGTCATATACAGGTAGAGGAGGTCAAATCGAGTAGAAAAGTCCTTTACCATTTTTTGATTTTTGTAATAAGTACTAAGTAATTAACGAAAAAAGATTGGTGAATCCGTGCAAGTAAAGCGCGCGCAGCGAGAAGGACATCCCACTGCTATGCGATCACTAGGCGCGCGATGAAGCGTTGGGAGGAGCGCTCTACAAATGACAATGGCAACATACGAGCGGCGCGTAACGCTAGATCCTTGTGTCCTAGTGATCGCGTAGCAGTAGGACGTCCTTCTCACCGCGCGCGCTTTACTCGCGCGGATTCGCCGATCTTTTTTCGTTAATTACTCAGGGCACCTATTATGGAACTTTTCGGAATGGATTCCGATCGGAATAATTCCGTTTTCCCTAGGTTATCCCTAGGTGTGTTATTATGGACACTCGGATTGTTTTCGATTTGATCGAAAAGTTTCCGATACCTCGCGAGCTGGTGAAATGTCGATTCCGATCGGAATGAAATAGCGCGAACAAAAGGGTGATATATTTTATGCGTAATCTTTAACGTAAATT